AGGTTGCTGCAGGTGGAGTGGAATTGAAGATGAAGGATTCCAAATCAAAGGTTTCGAGTGTTGAAATGACTGTAGATCACGATAGTGAATAATTATCTCGATCAAACTTAATGTTGATCGATGGTATTTGAAGATCAATGGCGGCTGTGGAATTGGCGTGGGCCAAAAGAGAAGCACCTGAAGTGGCCATAGAGGAGAAACAGATCAAGGAATCTGGGGAAAAAATTATAGGGCTCTTGATAACATACACTACTAGAAAATTGGTGCAATAGCTACAGCACAATCCGTAGCTATTTCGTAGCTATAAGCAGATAGCTACGGAATTGCTACGGAAAAATGTCTGTAGCATAATGGCCCGTGGCTAAATTATAGCTACAGATTAGCTACGGAATTGTTACGGAATAGCTACGGAATTTACCGTAGCTACCATAGCTACGGAATAGCTACAGAAATAAATAGATACGGATTTACTACGGATTACCCACGGGAGTCATGTTTGACTAAAATTGACTATTTCCTACGGAATAGCTACGGAATTAAATAGCTACGGAATTAAATAGCTACGGAAATAAATAGCTACAGAACTAAAATTGACTATTTGGAGGAGGCGGGGTTATTTGGGTTTTAGAATTTTTGGCCAAAAAAAAAACCCCGCTGAAATTGGTTTTGTTTTGTTCTCCGACGAAATAGCGACCAAAAAGAAAGAAAAAAAAACGTCTGGTATGGGATTCGAACTCGGACTATCTTATACATTAACCAATGAGATTACCAACAGGTCGGTCATGCCACATCCAATTTTTAAAGAACCTTAATGTATCTTATACAATACCGATTTCCTTTCTTTTTTTATTATTATTATTGTTATAATTATTATAATAATTATTATTATTATTATTATTATTATTATTATTATTATTTGAAAAAACATCATAAATGGTCCGTATGGTTTTCCCCGATCTGAAGTTTAGTCCCCGAGGTTTAAAAACATCATAGAAGGGATGAACGCGCCTAGATCAAAACAAAACCTAAATCGAAATGAATCCAAAATCAAAATAAACACTAAATCAAAACAAAGCTAAATCGAAATGAATCCCAACCCAAAACGAAAACCTAAGTGGAATTAAACCAAAAAGAAACTTACTTGAAACGGTGTAGACGACGGCGACGGCAAGCAGATGACAGCGACGACGAATCAATGATGACGATAGCAGGAAAGAAGGAACTCCGGCGATGGCGGAAAGAAGTAAACTCGGCGGAGTAAGCTTCACCACCACCACCACGAACTCGATGTACACCATTTGCAGCGGCAGCGGAAAGAAGTAACTTCAACGGCTGGAAAATGGAGTAAGCTTCAAGGAAGGGTGTGAGAAGGACCGAGTAGGAAATTGTGAAAGAGAAAGAGGGAAACGAATGAAGAAAGGAGATAGAGGGAAGCAGGATTAAAAATTTCCATCTGCCCGCCAAAATGGAGGCGGACAGTAAGAATCGAACTCGGGGCAACTGCAGGAATAAACAACAACACTACCAACTGGCTGGGACTGCCACATCCATAAAACTTTCGTCTTCTATTACTTTTAACCACTTCCATTTCCGTTTTTGTTATATTATTCTTATTATTATTATAATTATAAATTTTATTATTATTATTATTATTACAACTATTATTACTACTACTACTATTATTATTATTATTATTATTATTATTATTATTATTATTATTATTATTATTACAACTAATAATAATATTATTATTATTATTATTATTATTATTATTATTATTATTATTATAATCATGCGGTGACGGTGGAGGTGGCGGTGGCGATGGCGGTGGTGGTGGTGGTGATAGTGTTGGTGATGATGATGATCATGACGACGACGACGACGACGATGATGATGATGATGATGATGATGATGATGATGATGATGATGATGTGATGGTGATGGTGATGGTGATGGTGATGATGATGCTGATGGTGGTGGTGATGATGGTGATGGTGATGATGGTGATGATGATGATGGTGTTGGTGGTGGTGGTGGTGATGATGATGATGATGGTGGTGGTGTGGTGATGATGATGATGATGGTGGTGGTGGTGTGGTGGTGATGATGATGATGATGATAGTGGTGATGATGATGATGATGATGATGGTGGTGGTGGTGGTGTGGTGGTGGTGATGTTGATGATGATGATGGTTGTGGTGGTGGTGATGATGATGATGATGATAGTGGTGATGGTGGTGATGATGACGATGATGATGATGATGGTGATGATGATGATGATGGTCGTGGTGGTGATGATGGTGGTGGTGATGATGGTGATGGTGATGATGATGATGATGGCGGTCGTGGTGGTGATGGTGATGATGATGATGATGGTGGTGGTGATGATGATGATGATGGTGATGATGGTGATGATGATGATGATGATGATGATGGTGGTGGTGGTGGTGATGGTTGTGATAGTGATGATGTTGATGATGATGATGATGGTGATGATGGGTGATGATGGTGATTGTGGTGATGGTGATGATGGTGATGATGATGATGATGGTGATGATGGCGATGATGGCGGTGATGGTGATGATGGTGATGATGGCGGTGATGGTGATGATGGTGGTGATGATGATGATGATGATGATGATGATGATCATCATCATCATCATCATGATAATGTAGGTATACGTGTTTGTGAGATGTATGTGAACGTATTCATAAACATCATAGTGTTAAACCATTAAACGAGTAATGGATCCCGTATGTGCACACGGCTTTATGAATGATATTAATAGCTATAAGTTGGTGAAAATATAGATAATCATGTATAATAGAGGTGTGAAAAAAACGGAGCGAAAAAAACGACGTTTGGTGTCCGAAAAATTGAAAATAAGAAAAATCCGTAGCTAATTAGCTACGGATTAGCTACGGAATTCTAACGGAAAACATATTCCGTAGCTAATCTGTAGGTAATTACCTACGGATTAGCTACGGAATATGCTTTCCGTTAGAATTTTGTAGCTAATCCGTAGCTAATTAGCTACGGATTAGCTACAAATTTTTCTTATTTTCGATTTTTCAGGCACCAAACGTCGTTTTTTTCGCTCCGTTTTTTTACACCTCTATTATACATGATTATCTATATTTTCACTAATTTATAACTATTAATATCATTTATAAAGTCGTGTGCACATACGAGATCCATTGCTCGTTTAGTGGTTTAACACTATAATGCTTATGAATACGTTCACATACATCTCACAAACACGTATACATACACATATACACGTACACATATACCACAACTTATTCATGTATATAAATATACATATACAAACATAATCCATCACAAATTGGTGAAAAGTATAGGCATTACAATGTTAAACTGTGAAACGAGTACTTGATCCCGAAGAGGCACACAACTTTATGAACGATATTAATATCTATAAGTTGGTGAAAATATTGATAATCATGTATAGTAGATGTTTGAAAAAAACGAAGCGAAAATAACGACGTTTGGTTCCCGAAAAATCGAAAATAAGAAAAATCCGTAGCTAATCTGTAGCTAATTAGCTACAGATTAGCTACTGAATTTTCTTATTTTTGATTTTTCGGGCACCAAACTTCGTTTTTTTCGCTCCGTTTTTTTCACACCTCTATTATACATGATGATCTATATTTTCACTAATTTATAGCTATTAATATCATTTATAAAGTCGTGTGCACATACGAGATCCATTGCTCGTTTAGTGGTTTAACACTATAATGCTTATGAATACGTTCACATACATCTCACAAACACGTATACATACACATATACACGTACACATATACCACAACTTATTCATGTATATAAATATATACATATACAAACATAATCCATCACAAATTGGTGAAAAGTATAGGCATTACAATGTTAAACTGTGAAACGAGTATTTGATCTCGAAGAGGCACACGGCTTTATGAACGATATTAATAGGTACAAGTTGGTGAAAATATAGATAATCATGTATAGTAGAGGTGTGAAAAAAAACGAAGCGAAAAAAACGACGTTTGGTGCCCGAAAAATCAAAAATAAGAAAAATCCGTAGCTAATCCGTAGCTACTTAGCTACGGAATTCTAACGGAAAGCATACTTTGGAGCTAATCCATAGGTAATTAGTATCCGTAGGTATTCCGTAGCTAATTAGCTACGGATTAGCATATGTAGCTATTCCGTAGCTAATTAGCTACGGAATAGCTATAGACTAGCATCCGTAGCTATTCCGTTACTAAACTAGGGCATCCCATTTTGTAGTTGATCCGTAGCGATTCCGTAGCTATTTTCCGTAGGAAAACCCCATGTTTTCTAGTAGTGATACAATTGTACATTTTATCTATTTTCCTCAATGTAGAGTACAAAGATTGTAGATGTATTTATACACAATAGAAAATAAATGTGGCCTATCGATACGACGACACTACCTAACAATGTACATAAAACTAGGTAAAAACATTTTGAACGCTTCAGATTCATGTTGAACACGTGGTTATTAAATATTAATCAACCTATACAAAATTATATCACTAATTTAAGATGATTTTATGTAAAAGGTTATATTAGAGAACAAGAATTGTGTTGGGAACATGTTTTTGCGTAGTTCGACATAAATTCAGTGTTCTAATCAAATTGAAGCGGTATTAAATCTGAATAAGAAAGAAATTTGGTTACATGTATTTGGGTTTTCGGAAAAATTAATATTTAAACCAGTTCTAAATCTGAATAAGAAACAGATTTGGATAGAGTCAAACCTAGTCGTACATAAGAAGTTGTAGACGAAACTTCTATCTGGGACCCACACGGCACGTGGAAAAAATCTGACGCACGAGCTGACGCTTTTTTAGTCAAACCCTAATTCTCACAACCCACACTTTACATTTCACACACGTATCAAAAGCACAGAAAAAGCATTTGGTCTTCAACGACTCTCCTTGTTCTTTATATATACCCTTCCTGTTTCCACCATTAAAAGACTCTTTGAATCGAACTCATCTCCCTTTCTTTATTCATGGGCAATTTTACTTTGGATACTTCTGAACCTTTGGTGTTATTTAACAAGACTTCAAGGTGGAACCCGTTCTCGATGGTTCCAGGCGGCGCTGCTGCTGATGTTGTGGCTGAAGGCGAAGATAATCGTCGGAACGTTTTGAGTGAGATGGATCTATTTTCTACAAGAAACCGCAGTCATAATAGGGTTGTTGTGAAGAAGGAGAATTTTCTTGGGAATGATCTTGATCTAAATGTAAGTAATTAAAATGTAAATTGCTTTTTAATTTGTATCATTTAATTTTTATTATTATTTAATTTCTGCTTATTATTCTTAATCCTTCTCATTGATAGACCGGTTTGAATCTTGTTACGATGGTAAGTAATCGATCACCGATGGGTGATGACATTTCAACCACTGGCGAAGACCAAACTATTGATAAGGTATGTTCATCAAATATTTTAGAAAGAAATAGTAATTTTTAACATTATTATAGCACAAATCTTGTTTAAATATAATTGAAATCTGGCATATAAGTATCTTGATCTGTTGCAATATAATATTTTATAAAAGATTTTTGCAAAATATATATTTTGTATATTATACACCTAGCAAGTAATATTCTATGAGGCAAATGATTTTAGGGTTCTAAAAAGGCCGAAATTAACAATTCTTACTTACTATTTAACGGCATAAAATTTTTTAATCTGATCTAAATTACTTTAATTTTTATGTTAATTTTCAGTTGAAAGATATACAAAATGAGTTAGAAAGAATGAACATCGAGAACCAAAGACTAAGAGAGATGTGCTTACAAGTTAGCAATAATTACAACGCCTTACAAACGCATTTTGTGACTCTAATGCATCAACAAGAACAAGAACTGAGAAATGAAAACATTCAAAATCAAGATCAGAATGCCAATGATCATCTTTCTCATGATCAAGTTTCAGTAGCAGTGCCAAGACAGTTCATGGAATTACGACAAAGTACTCATGATCAGTTGATATCTCGTGATTCTTCATCAGAAGAAAAGACAGTTGATAGAGACACCAAGACTATCGCTCGCGAAGATACCCCAGATTCAGACGTATGGACATCTAACAAAGTTCCCAAATTGGTTGTCCCCGAAAACATGGAACATACAAATGATGCAACAATGCGTAAAGTTCGTGTTTCAGTTAGGGCACGTTCAGATGCACCAATGGTAAATAATTAGATTGAACTTATTCAAAGAATATACAACAGTTTTTGTTCATTTGTAGTGATCTAATTATGTTATGATTTAATGGGGTGCATATATGCAGATTTCTGACGGATGTCAATGGCGAAAGTATGGTCAAAAAATGGCAAAAGGGAACCCGTGTCCACGAGCATACTACCGTTGCACAATGGCAGTGGGGTGCCCAGTTCGGAAACAAGTTCAAAGATGGGCTGATGATCAAACAATTTTAGTAACCACCTACGAAGGCACTCACAACCACCCGCTGCCGCCAGCAGCAGTAGCAATGGCATCTACTACATCAGCTGCAGCCACCATGTTGCTCTCCGGTTCAACCTCGAGTGTAGATGGTTTCATGAACTCCAACCTTTTGGCTCAGGCAATTCGACCACCCAATATCGCCACAATATCTGCCTCAGCCCCATTTCCTACAATTACATTAGACCTTACTCACCCTCCAAATTCAACTCCAATATTTGAGGGTTATAATAACCCTGCAGCATCACAATTTGCAATGCCATTACAAGCGTTTCACCAAGGTAGTAGTGGTGCCATGGTATACAACCAATCAAGATTTTCTGGTCTCCAGTTATCTAACAACGAATTGTCAAATCAAGTGTTACAGTACCAGCAAACTGCACCACCACAACACCACCAATCTCAGCCTCATCCATCATTTGGGCATTCACTTAGTGCTGCTACGGCTGCCATCACCGCTGATCCAAATTTCACTGCAGCCTTAGCTGCTGCGATCACATCGATCATGGGCGGCAATGGTAGCACCATCAGTCCCAAAAACGAGGAAAACAACAACCGTGAGCTGGGGTGAAGCTGTTTTTTGAAATTATTTTTTTTCCTTTATTCACCATTTTTTCATTTGTACGGGTACTTAAATGTGAATTATCATTTCCTCGAAGCAAGTATACATATGTAATATTATACATTTATATCGTTGTTTATTTGACACGAATATATATATTATTAATTACTTAATAAGTAGAGTAATAGACTTTTTTGAATTTGAATTTGAATTTGATCTTTTGGTTTGAAATTGAGAGAGAGGCTTTGTCGTCGTAGGTAACTTCTTCAATGCTTTAATTCTATACGAAGCCGACTTCAACAAAAAATTATAATATTATTTTCTAAATATGTCATTATGATGGAGTTTCTTCCTCATCAATTCAAATTTGTTTTGTTTTTTACAAAAGAAATGAAATATTTTTTCTAATTTTTTTATATTTTTCTATCCTTGTTTTTTTCTATTCATGTTATGTTTCTATTTTTCTATTAACGATTTTCCGTTAAATGATATAAATATAATATTCAATAAAATTAATAATATAAAATATTTGTTACCATTAATATATATATATATATATATATATATATATATATATATATATATAGATATATATATATATATATATATATATACACACACACACACAAAGCGGCGGCCATGTTTTTTTTTTGACGAATAGTTTCTTACGGGGGAAATATTATTATATTTTATTATTAATTATCATTTAATAAAAAATTATCATTTTTAAATAAAATATTTATATTTATACCTTGTGTTTATATTGCTTGTTTATACTATTGATATAAATTTATTAATACTGGTGTTTAGTTTAAGAAAATATAAATTAATTTGTATAAATGAATTTAACATTTTATAATTTTCATTTTGCTCCAAATTGAATATCTTAATTAATTTCCTTAATTTAAGTCTTCAAACTTTTGGTAAGTATTAATGAATTATTTATGCAAAATTGATTTGTATAAATAACTTTATAACTTATAACTCTTAATTCAATATATGACAAATATGTTTTAATATATATATATATATATATATATATATATTATATATATATATATATATATATATAGAGAGAGAGAGAGAGAGAGAGAGAGAGAGAGAGAGAGAGAGAGAGAGAAAGAGAGAGAGAGAGAGAGGATCGGTTAATGACTCTTGTTAAAGTGAGGATTCGTGAGTACACCTTAAAAAAATTGAAAAAAATCTAAAAAAAATACAAATCATAAAATCGAGCATAATACTATTTTGGAGAAAAAAAATTTGGAATTTTTTTTTGAATCATTAAATTTGAAGCATGGATTATTTTTATGTTCCATGATTCAATTTTTATGATCCATGATTCAATTTTAATGATGAAAAAAAAAATTTCCATTTTTTTCTCCCGTATATAATACTATGCTCGATTTTACGATTTGTATTTTTTTTTTAGATTTTTTTTTTCAATTTTTTTAAGGTGTCCTCACGAGTCCTCACTTTAAAAAGAGTATTCACCAAAACCGGACCGTGTATATATATATATATATATATATATATATATATATATATATATAAAAGTATGTTCAATCGAGAACATTTTTTGTTGCGAGAATATTTGAGAACAAATTTAAACCACTCATTCAAAAAAATATATTATTTATCGCTTTAATAATTTATATATTATTTACTAATTTTATTATATAAAAAATAAAAAGGTAGCCCACCTACCACACCACACACCTATCCCTACGTTATATTTTCATTTTTATAATATTACATCTCAGTTGAAGGTGCACTGCCAAGACTGCCGGACCACCACCTACTGTCGTCAGACCGCCACCCACCGTCGTCGGAGTGTCACCGCATCGAATCTTCGTGAAATGCTGTTGCGAACCACCTCCAATCGTCTATTCTCTTTGTAAACTAGCTCCCTTTGCCGCTCATCTTCTTCCACCAGAAAGGTACATCGCTAGAAACTACCTTGTCAGAAATCACATGTTTATGGATATTTAAATGTATAGCTAATTTTAATTTCAAATCGTGTTCATTCGTGGATATTTTGAATTATCCATGTTCAAGGATATTTTGAGAAAATCAAAAAAGAGGAAGCAAAGTAAAAATGTAATTGAAATATATTTTTCATGAAAAATCTTGTTTGTTTGACTATATAGGAGTCATATGTTTTTTATATTATGTATATGATTAAATACATGAGACCAAATATTAAATTGGAAAAACAAAAATAAATTTTGTCTATATAAATCACATATGATTAAATATATATATTCATATGTGATCATATATGATTAAGTACACGAAAACACTTATTGAATCGAGAATACAAAACTAAGTCGTGCCTATATAAATCTTATGTAATTAAATACATCTAATCACATTTGATTAAATACATGAGAAAAATTATTAAATTGATAACACAAAGATAAATCTTGTTTATATTAATCATATGTGACTAAATACATATAATCATGTGTGATTAGATATATGAAAAAAATTATTTAATTGAGAAGGCAAAAACGAATATTGTGCATATAAATTATATGTGATTACAATACACATAATCATAAGTGATTCAATGAATATAATAACATTTGATTAAATACATGGGACCAACTATTGCATTGAAAACGCGAAAATGAATATTGTTCACATATTTTATATGTGATTAAATACATATAATCACATGTGATTATATATATCTAATCACAGATGATTTATGTGGACAAAATTTATTTTCACGTTCTCGATTCACTAGTTGTTTTTGTGTATCTAATCACATGTGAGTATATGCATCTAATCACATATGATTTATGTGGACAATATTTGTTTTACGTTTTCGATTCAATAGTTGTTCTCGTGTATCTAATCACATGTGATTGTATGTTTCTAATAACATACGATTTATATGGACAAGATTTGTGTTCGCGTTCTCGATTCAATAGTTGTGCTTTATCCAAATTAATCATACATAATTAAATACATATAATCACATGTTATTAAATACTTAGAGAAAAATTATTGAATTGAAAACACGAAACGAATATTGTCCATATAAATCATATGTGATTAGATACATATAATAATATATGATTATATATACTAGAAAGTGAATATAAATGTTTTCTACATAAATCATATGTGATTAAATACATATAGTCACATATGATTAAATATACAAGACCAACTGTTGATTCAAACACGAATACAAATATGAATATTTAGTCACATTTGATTTATGTGGACAAGATTCGTATCACATATGATTTATATGGACAAAATTAATTTTCATGTTTTCGATTCAATAATTTTTCACATGTATTTAATCAAATCTGATTATACGAAAAAAATAAATTTTGTCCACATAAATCATATTTGATTAAATACATATAATCACATATGATTAAAAACACGAGATCAACTATTGAATTGAAAACCAAAAAGTGAATATTGTTCACATAAATCATATGCGACTAAATACATGTAATCACATGTGATTATATGTATCTAATCACATATGATTTATATTGAAAAAGTTGAATCTTATGCATATATATAATCACATGTGACTATATACACGATAACAAATATTAAATTAAGAACACGAAAACAAATCTTTATCCACATTAATCATATGTGATTAAATACATATAATCACATGTGATTAAATACATGATTAAAATTATAGAATCGAAAACACGAAAACAAATATTTTCCATATAAAACATATAAAACAAATATTTTCCACATAAATCATATGTGATCATCATCGCGTCTGATTAAATACAAAAAACTAACTATTGAATCAAAAATGCAAAAATGAATATTATCCACATATAATTTATGTGGAAAATAATCATATTCACATTTTTTGATTCAATTATTGTTGTAATGTAATTAGATGGGTCGGTAGTTATGGTATAGATGGGTGGGTGATGGAAGGTGGGCATGATGGGTGGTGGTGACGTATGGTGATGTTTGGTGGTGGTGGTGGTGTCGTGTGGTGATGTTTGGTGGTGGATGATGGTGGTGGGTGGGTGGGTAGTGATGGGTGGTGGTGGTTGGTGATGGGTGGTGATGATGGTAGGTGGTGGTTACAGGTGGATGCGGGTGATGGTTGGTTGTGGTGGCGAGTGATGGTGATAATGGTTGATGATGGTGGGGGTGGTGGTGGTGGGTGATGGATGTGAATGGCGGTGATGGTGGTCTCAAGTGGTGGTTGGTGATAGTGGTGGGTGGTGGTTGGTTGTCGTGGCAGGTGGTTGACATGGTTGTAGATGATGATGGGGGTGGTGGTAATGGGTGATGGTGGTAATGGGTGATGGAGGCGGGTGGTGGTGATGGGTGGTGGTTGGTGGTAGGGGTAGTGGGTGGTGGGTAGGTGGTAGTCGTGATGGTGGGTGTTGGTGATGGGTGGTGGGAGGGTGGTGGTGGTCATTATGGTGAGTGATAGGTGGTGGTTTTTATGGGTGATGGGTATGGTGGTGGTGGCGGGTGGTGGAGGTAGGTGGTGGTGGAGGTCGGTGGTGGTGACGGGTGGTGGTGGAGGTTGGTGGTGGTGTCGGGTGGTGGTGGTGGAGGGTGGTAGTTAGCGGTGGAGGTGGGTGGGTGGTGGTGGGTGGGTGGGTGGTATTGGGTTGTAGGTTGTGGTGATGGGTGGTTGGTAATAATGGTGGGTGGATGATGGTGAGTGATGGGTGGTGGATGCTGGGTAGTGGTGGGTATATGGTGGTGGGTGGTGGTGAGTGGTGGGTGGTGGATGGTGAATGGTAGGTGTTTGTGGGTATATGGTAGTGGGTGGATGGTGGTGGTGGGTGTTGGTGTTTGGTGGTTGGTGGTGATGGGTGGTTGGTAGCGGGTGGTAGGTGGTGGGTGGTGTGTCGTAGGTGGTGGTGATGGGTGGTTGGTGGTGGTGGGTGATAGGTGGTGGTGGTGGTGGGTGGTATTGGTTGGATGATGAGTGATGTTGGTTAGTGGAGTTTTTTTAATTGTTTTTAATTATTTTTTATTTATATATAAATATTTATTCATATCTAGTTTTTGATTTAATTATAAAAGTGTCACTTTGCAAATTAAAGAAGGATTTGTGTTCTCAAATGTTTTCGCGATA